CCGGAGCTGTGTGGAGTAGTTTGATGATGGATGGATGCACTTTTTTGGGCTTCAAAAACAGGGGCACCATTCACTGCAATTATACAGCTTGGAAGCGCCAGGACAATTTTTAATATAACTCTGACTGGATTCATCTGAAAGAAGAATGTCAGATACGTCTAGGATGTAAATCATGGGGCAATTTTCATTTTTGGGAGAACTATCCCTTTAAAAGAAGAATAAGAAATTATAGGTAACACTTGCTTTTATGGATTATAGGTATTCATAATGTAGGTTGAAATGCATTATATCTTAACGGATAATTGTAACCAAAGTTGAAATACATTATAATATTTGAAAGTTTGTTTGTCATGTGTTTTAATGCATTATACTTTCTAAAGGTGTAACAATGAATAGATAATTATTATAATGTATTATAACTGTGGTTATAATTATTCATGAGATTATACAATGCATTATAAGCTGTATTACAAGGCTTAATTAATGCATTAAAACTACTTTAATAATGCATTATACATAAAGGCTTTAAGTAAAGTGTTACCCAATTATATTTTGCATAAAGACAATGAAGCTTATTTTTAGTGCGATTTAAGTACATTTGTACAACGTAATTATGCTACATTTTAATGAAGGGAGAAAAACAAAAACATTTCCTTCATGAGATTCACCTATAAATCTTTTGGATGGATTGGAGTTATAAAAGTCAACATATTACATCATCAAACTCTTTTTTTTTTTTGGTTCTAAAGTGCAAAAACCTTCTGTTTTCCATGTTATATAAGCTCTTTAAAAATCTGAGCGGAAATACAGTCAAATATGCAATGTTATTTTACATTTGATTACTTTATTCAATTTCTGTACCTAAAAACTGTTAGACCTACCATAAAAAACCTGAAAAGCACTGTTTATTTTATTTGTATCTTTGCTCGGTTGTATTTATTTGTTCTGTTGCATGTAATTAGATTATTTGTTCTTATTTTCTTAATTTTTATTTGACAATATAGTCATTTTTGTTTCTCTAAACATAGCACATACCGAACCGTACCGAAACCGTGATACAAACCTAACCGTGAGTAACTTGAACTGTTCCACCCCTAATATATACACAAATATTGGTGTGTTTGCAAATGTTGTTAGTGATCACTGTGTCATAGCTGCTGTGAGGAATAATAAAAGTCAACGCCTCAAATTCTTTTTACAAGAAACAGAAAACATTTTGTTGAATCATAATTTGTATTTATTTGACTGGAGTCCTATTACTTTAATAAATGATGTTGAGTTAGCATGCAACTTTTTTTATAGTAGTTTTGTGCACCTGGTATATAAGCATGCACCGATGCATAAAATAAGAGTGAAGGCCCAAAATAATCCTTGGTTTACATCGGAGTTGGCTAGGCTGCTGCATGATAGGAATGTAGCTTGGGCCAAAGCCAGAAGCACTAAGGCTGAATCGGACATTTTAGGAAGCTGAGAAATCTCTGTACCTCACAGATAAAAAATGCCAAATCAGATTTCTATTCATTTGAAACGTCTCAAAATGTAAACAATCTGGTTAAGTTTTGGAAAACGGTTAAGTCATTGTCTCAAGAAGATAATATGGAGATTTCTAAAATTATTACTAAAAATGATCATTTGACATCAGAGAAGTCAGTTATTTTGGATAGTTTAAATGAACATTTCATATCTTCAGGTTCTTTACTTGAAGCTCAGTTACTAAATCGTCCTATGACTAATTCTCTTACCATACCTTTAACTGAAGTTCCATGTAAATTAATTACACAAAAATTTGATTATACCCAGTTCTCTGTTTCTGAGGTCCATAAATCTTTGAGTTTTTTGGACCCAAATAAGTCTGCTGGGCCTGATAAGTTGGAACCATTTTATCTAAAGCTAGCAGCTGATTTTATTGCTGAACTGTTGGACTTATTTATTTAATCTTTCTATTTCCCAATGTGAAATCCCAAAGATTTGGAAGTCTGCTTTTGTTTCTCCTCTTTTCAAAGGGGGGACTCATAGCAGTTGAACAATTATAGGTCAATATCTAAACTGTGTGCTTTATCTAAGCTCTTGGAGAAATTATTGAATGAACAATTAAAAACCTTTTTGGAAATAAATAATATTCTTTCTCCTTTCCAATCAGGATTTAGAAAGCAGCATAGTACAGTTAACTGCGGCTATGAAAGTGTTTAGTGACATTATTAATGCCTTAGACTTTAAACAAATTTGTTCAGCTCTTTTTCTTGATTTATCGAAGGCTTTTGACACAGTTGATCATGGCATACTTTTAAAATGACTTTCCATCGTTGGTCTCTCAGAAAATGCTATTAAATGGTTTGCCAACTATCTTTCAGGGAGAACACAGTGTGTGCTTTTAAAAGATTGTACTTCATCTGTTTTGTCAGTTTCCAAAGGTGTCCCTCAGGTGTCTGTTCTGGGACCCATTTTATTTTCCTTGTATATAAATAATATTTGTGATAACATTCCCAATCCTAGGTACCATCTTTATGCAGATGATACTGTTATTTATTGCTACGCTTCATCAGCCTCACAAGCTCTTCATTATTTACAGTCAGCGTTTGATACTGTCCAGTTCCGTTTATGTCAACTTAAGCTGGTTTTAAATACAGATACAACTAGTTTAATGATTTTTGCAAATTCCAAAGTTTTACCAAGTAATCTTCCTGATATTATATCCTTCCAGGGAACAAAAATAGAATGTGTTGTGAAGTACCTGGGCATTCTATTTGATGGTCAATTAACTTTTAAGCTACATATTGACAAATTCATTTCTAAACTTAAGCTTAAATTGGGTTTTTACTATAGAAACAGATCTTTATTTTCCTTTAGTGCAAGAAAATATTTAATATCTGCAACCTGTTGGACTATGGTGCTCTACTTTATATGAAAGCCCCGGGACATTAACTAAAAAAAAAAAACAAAACTTGATACTGTTTTTCATAGCGCCTTATGTTTTATTACTGGTTGTAGCTATCAAACAGATCACTGCACTTTATATGAGAAGGTTACCATCTAATTATAGGCCAATATCTAAACTGTGTGCTTTATCTAAGCTCTTGGAGAAATTATTGAATGAACAATTAAAAACCTTTTTGGAAATAAATAATATTCTTTCTCCTTTCCAATCAGGATTTAGAAAGCAGCATAGTACAGTTAACTGCGGCTATGAAAGTGTTTAGTGACATTATTAATGCCTTAGACTTTAAACAAATTTGTTCAGCTGTTTTTCTTGATTTATCGAAGGCTTTTGACACAGTTGATCATGGCATACTTTTAAAATGACTTTCCATCGTTGGTCTCTCAGAAAATGCTATTAAATGGTTTGCCAACTATCTTTCAGGGAGAACACAGTGTGTGCTTTTAAAAGATTGTACTTCATCTGTTTTGTCAGTTTCCAAAGGTGTCCCTCAGGTGTCTGTTCTGGGACCCATTTTATTTTCCTTGTATATAAATAATATTTGTGATAACATTCCCAATCCTAGGTACCATCTTTATGCAGATGATACTGTTATTTATTGCTACGCTTCATCAGCCTCACAAGCTCTTCATTATTTACAGTCAGCGTTTGATACTGTCCAGTTCCGTTTATGTCAACTTAAGCTGGTTTTAAATACAGATACAACTAGTTTAATGATTTTTGCAAATTCCAAAGTTTTACCAAGTAATCTTCCTGATATTATATCCTTCCAGGGAACAAAAATAGAATGTGTTGTGAAGTACCTGGGCATTCTATTTGATGGTCAATTAACTTTTAAGCTACATATTGACAAATTCATTTCTAAACTTAAGCTTAAATTGGGTTTTTACTATAGAAACAGATCTTTATTTTCCTTTAGTGCAAGAAAATATTTAATATCTGCAACCTGTTGGACTATGGTGCTCTACTTTATATGAAAGCCCCGGGACATTAACTAAAAAAAAAAAAAAAAACTTGATACTGTTTTTCATAGCGCCTTATGTTTTATTACTGGTTGTAGCTATCAAACAGATCACTGCACTTTATATGAGAAGGTTACCATCTTTGTATACTTGAAGAAGTTTTAATTGGTATTGTTTCATTTATAACTCTATTTGTGGTTTAACTCCATCTTACTTATCTCTAACATTTTCCAATACAAACGTGAGCTATAAACTTCGCTCAAATTATCTGTTATATATGACCCTGGACCACAAAACCAGTCTTAAGTCGCTTGGGTATATTTTTAGCAATAGCCAAAAAAACATCAAAATTATCGATTTTTCTTTTATGCCAAAAATCATTAGTATATTAATTAAAGATCATGTTCCATGAAGATATTTTGTAAATTTCCTACCGTAAATATATCAAAACTTTTGAACTTTTGATTAGTAATATGCATTGCTAAGAACTTCATTTGGACAACTTTAAAGGTGATTTTCTCAGTATTTGGATTGTTTTGCACTCTCAGATTCCTAATCTAGACAACTATTTTCAAATAGTTGTATCTCAGCCAAATATTGTCCTATCATAACAATACCATACCAACAACCATACATCAATGGAAAGCTTATTTATTCAGCTTTCAGATGATGTATAAATCTCAATTTCAAGAAATTGACCCTTATGACTGGTTTTGTGTTCCAGGGTCACATATTTTAAAGTTCCTCGGGTTTGAACAGAGCTAGGAAAAAAGGATATTTGGATATAATGCGTCCGTCATTAAATGAGTTTAAGCTACTTTTAACAAATTATGTGTTTTATCCTCTGGTAAACAGTTGTTGTGATCTTTGATTTGTGTTTTTGATGTAAACTTATATTTCTGTTACTTGTTGCTATATGAATGAAACACAACACATACCATAAGCCACTGGGGTGAGTTTCAGGACGACATGGAGGGGGCACTTCAGATATGGCAAATCATCTGTGCAATAGAAGCACACCAAAATATGAGAAGATCTGCAGACATTATGAACACAAATTTGAGTCAAAGAGGTTGTGCATAGAAGAACTTTGCCCAGGAATATCAACAGCTTCTTCAAATAAAGTTTGTTAGAGGATCACTTCTTTGAATACTTATTACCTGAACACCAGCCTTCAGAAACCTACATACTCGTGTCTCACATTATCTCATTATAGCCATCAGTAAGTCACAAGAGGCCTGATATGATTTGAGTGTGTGTGTGTGTTTGTGACGCACCAGCGCTCTTGTCCAGGAAGTAGGCGAGGAGGCAACGCATGACAGCCTGGTGGCAGATGACCAGCACATTGCCTTGTCTCTCCAGCTCCATGATTACTGGCTCCAACCGCTGCACCAGGTCCTGATAGGACTACGGCAAGAGAAGTAGGACAAAACTCACTGCTAGATTTGAATTTTTTATTTTTTTTTGAAGAAATTAATACTTTTATTAAGCAAGGATGCATTAAATTGATAAAAAAGCGACAGTAAAGACATTTATACATTTACAAAAGATTTCTATTTCAAATAAATGCTGTTCTTTTGAACTTTCTATTCAACAAAGTATCCTGAAAAAAATGTATCAGCACCAAAATATGAAGCAGTACAACTGTTTTTAACATTGATAATAATCAGAAATATTTTTTGAGCAGCAAAACAGCATATTAGAATGATTTCTGAAGATCATGTGACACTGAAGACTGGAGTAATGATGCTGAAAATTCAGCTTTGATCACAGAAATAAATTACAGTTTACAATATATTCAAATAGAAAACATCTATTTTAAATTGTAATAATATTTCACAATATTACTGTTTTTACTGTATTTTTTTATTAAATAAATGCAGCCTTGGTGAGCAAAAGAGATTTCTTTCAGAAAGTGGGAGTGAATTCTTTTGAGTCAATTCTTTTCAGTGAATGAATAGTTCATTAGTCAATCGGTCTAAATCTGAATCATAAAAAAAAAGCAACTGAAAAAGTCATGAAGAGTTATTGTTAAAATGTGGGAACTCTAAATGGCACATCAGGTGTCATAATGGTCCGTACCTCTCCTCCTGGGTATCTGTAATGGTATTTGTCCTGGTCTCTGAGAAAATATTCATCCGGGTGTGTTTCTTTAATCTTTTCATATGTCATTTCCTCACAGATGCCCTGATACAAAACAAACACACATAAAAAATAACAATGCACAAACAGCACAAATGCTTCTCAGTCAATTCAGATGTTTTGCAATAATGTGATTTAGTTTTTTTCTGTTTGCAATATAAGGATTAGTTCACCCAAAAATAAAAATTTGCTGATATTTTACTCATTTTCAGCAGGCCAAGACGTAGATGAGTTTGTTTCTTCATCAGATTTGGAGAAATGTAGCATTGCATCAGTGTCTCAGCAATGGATGCTCTGCAGTGAATGGGTGCCGTCAGAATGAGAGTCCAAACAGCTGATAAAAACATCACAATAATCCACAAGTAATCCACACCACTCCAGTCCATCAGTTAATGTCTTGTGAAGTGAAAAGCTGCGTGGTTGTAAGTAACAAATCCATCATTAAGGTGTTTTAACTTCAAACCATCACTTCTGGCCAAAATACGAGTCCATAATCCATAATAACACTTCTTACAGTAAAAAAAAAGTCCATCTCCTGTTGTCTCTCAGATCAAAATCCACCCACATATTTGTTCAGATCTGTTTTGGACTGCTTTGGCTTGTAAACGGTGCTTGATCTGTGCAGATTTATTTGATTCAGACGAGACGACTTTTTCACTGGACAAAGCAATATTATGGACTCATATTTTAGCTGGAAGCAACAATTTGAAGTTAAAAATGTCTTGATGATGGATTTGTTTCTTACAAACACGCAGCTTTTCACTTCATAAGATGTTAACTGATGGACTGGAGTGGTGTGGATTATTGTGATGTTTTTAATCAGCTGTTTGGACTCTCATTCTGACGGCACCCATTCACTGCAGAGCATCCATTGCTGAGACAGTGATGCAATGCTACATTTCTCCAAATCTGATGAAGAAACAAACTCCTCTACGTCTTGAGCAAATTTAGATTTCTGGGTGAACTATTCTTTTTAAAGCATTAAACATCTACCTTATTTCCCACTGATGTGGAAGCAGACTTTTATTGCACTCATGGCAAAGTTTTCCCAATGATATAGCTGAATTCATTTTGGTGTGGTAAACGAGTTAAATATGATACACCTCCATTAAACATCTGACTCAAATTGACTAATTGCCTGTTAACAGAAAACACCTCTGTTTTATCACGATAAGTAATGAAAAACAGTGTTCAGTGCCCAGTGCTCATATGAAAACCAGAAGCTGCTGCTGTAATAAAAACAGCGGCAGGAAACTCACGGCGTCGATCTCGTTGAGGATTTTCCACTGCTCGTACGGGACGCCCAGCTCCTCGGCCGTCTGGATGGTGCGTCTGAGCTGACTGGTCCACACCTTCAGGTCTGGGATCTTCTGGTTTTCCAGGAACCCACGCAGGGCTTTAGAAAACTAACACAGAGCGGGAAAGACGTTAACAAGCCCTTTAAACATTTCTCACCCACTTGTGGTAAAGGACTGACCCAGAGCATGCTGGGAATCAACACAGGGTGACCATGAAAGCGGTTTCACATGTGCACCAGTAATAAAAAAAAACATGATTAACAAATGAACTACATACAAACAACTCTCAATTTTGATACATAACAAAACAAACATACTTTAAAGCACGGTTATTACAGTTAACTAAAACTAAAACCACTCATTTTTTTTAATGAATGAATGAATGGATAAAATAAATAAATACAATTATAGTAAAAGATAATATTAAAAACATACTTATTTTGTTTCAGTTGCCAAGGCAACATTTTTTATTTTCATTCAGTTTAACTTACTAAAACTAAATGAACTTAAACAAACAAACAAACAAAAAGTATAATAATATTATAATTGTTATTGTAATAATAATAAAAAAACAATAAAAACTTTATATACTTAAAGAAAACTAGTAAAAATGACAAAAGCACACAACAAAATTACTAAAACGTCAACTAAAATTAAAGTGAAAACAAAAAACATAAAAATAAAACCTAATTCAAAATATTAACAAACACTATAACACAGCCCCACATTATAAAAAAATCTTCTGATTTGCAAAATGATACCGAGTTTAAAACAGACACGGAACCATCCTAGCCAATGCCAACATCATGATTATGAGTACGTAAACTGTACACGGCTGTAACAGATTTGCATTCATTCATGAATTAAATATGCTGTCTTACCAGTTTGAGATAAAAAAATAAAAAAATTCTGCTGATTTGCAAAAGGCCTAATATTACTTAACTTTATGATGCAAAGTTCGAAAAATAAGAATGGAGATTTTTTTTTCAAACGATATATATATATGTATCAGCTTTAATGCACTTATCAAAATAACAAGCAGTCAAATGTCAAAAGTTTCCATTTGAATGACAAATAGAAGTAATCAAAATGCATAATTCAACTTAGTGAAAAAAAGTGGAAATAATGTTTTCAGAATAACTCATACATGTGAAAATGGGCTTAGAATTGAACAAATAGTCGTAATATGACTCAGACGAAGACAGGAATCATGTGTTTGTGGCAGTTTTTTTTTTGCTGATTAAGTTTAATAAAATACTTCTTCACCTTACAAATGGTTGTCGAAAGCAAAAATGCTACAAAATGCATCATATGTTGTGAGAAAGTGTGACGTGCTTGAGCAAAACAGCCAGTATTTCTGGAATCAGCACCTCAAAAGGAGTAAGAAAGAAGTATTGGATTTCATTCAGCAAATGCAGGGCGGCGTTACAGTACATCAATGATCCTGAAATAAGACTGTTTTAAAGGAGCCATATTCTGCTCATCCATCCATGAACTGTACCTCTTTTCCTCTGCTGGAGAGCTCGGAGTCTCCTCCGATGCAGCCCTGGACGTTGTGCTGGCTCTCGCCGTGGCGGCAGAGGTAGATGGAGTGTTTCTGAACATGAATATTCATGAGGTAGTAAACGATCTTGCTCTGGATGTAATCCTGAACGTGGTTCACCAGGAAACGCTGGCCGACGTTAATCACCTGGATGAAGGACAGGTCCCTGAAAGAGCCCGAAAAAGAGACTATTGTGCTCTTGAGTACAGAACAATTAACAGGTGACTGTTCTTGCATTTAATTGTGTAAGACATATGCCGAAAAATAATTAATCACCATCATATAATCGTAAGATCAACTTGTACCTCATTAACTACAACAATGCCTTCCCTTGTTTAAATAGCATTCATGTTTGAGCAAATCTATACACTACAAAAAAACAAAAAAAAAAGTTGAAAACTCGATTTGTTTTTCAGTAAATGACTCTTCAAAAAAATAGAATAAAAAAAAATAGGTGGTAATACTATAGATTTATTCATTTGTAACTTAAGTCAAGCATAAAACTTTCAGCCAAGTGTTTAAATGTAAAAATGCTAGACTTTGTAAATAGTATATGCTATAATAAAGTAAGTGGTATAATGCTAGAATTAAATTATTTGTTTTATAATTTATATCTGTAAATTTGGTGTCAAAATTAATACCTTGATTAACAGTGCTGTTATCATTCACTAAAAGTATTACAAAACATTTTTGCTAATTAAAATAAAATTGAAATTAAAGTAAAATACAAATAATAGACGGAAAAAACTTAAACAAACAAAAATTTGAAATGTTGCCTTGGCGTACAACTAAAAATACGTTTAAGTTGAAGTACTACAATAAATGAATTAAAATAGTAATATTAACTAATAAAAATGACAAAAACATTAACAAATTAGAAATGCTGCTTTAGCAACTAACTGAAAAAAATATAAGTTGAAGTACTAAAATTACGAAAACTAAAACATACTTAAATGAAATATAAATATTTAAAAACTACGAAAAAATACAAAAACAGAACAAATTTACTAACAGAACATTTAAAATTAATTACTTTTTTTCTTTCTTTTTTTACCAGTTTTCAAAATATAATAATAAATACTATAATAATACATGAATAAAAAAATCTAACTAAACTAACACTGTTGATTAAAACAAGAGTTAAATCTAAATAAACTTCAGGAACAACATACTGTGAGTTTTCCACTTATTTCTGTATATTTAAATATAGTGTACTGTAATGTTGTTTCCCTTTTTGGAGCTCATGTTTGTAAAGTGTATAATACATTCATTTAAAATGTATATATATATATATATATATAAATTAAAATTTTTGCTAATTAAAATAAAATTGAAATTAAAGTAAAATACAAATAATAGACGGAAAAAACTTAAACAAACAAAAATTTGAAATGTTGCCTTGGCGTACAACTAAAAATACGTTTAAGTTGAAGTACTACAATAAATGAATTAAAATAGTAATATTAACTAATAAAAATGACAAAAACATTAACAAATTAGAAATGCTGCTTTAGCAACTAACTGAAAAAAATATAAGTTGAAGTACTAAAATTACGAAAACTAAAACATACTTAAATGAAATATAAATATTTAAAAAATACGAAAAAATACAAAAACAGAACAAATTTACTAACAGAACATTTAAAATTTACTTTTTTTTAACCAGTTTTCAAAATATAATAATAAATACTATAATAATACATGAATAAAAAATCAAACTAAACTAACACTGTTGATTAAAACAAGAGTTAAATCTAAATAAATTTCAGGAACAACATACTGTGAGTTTTCCACTTATTTCTGTATATTTAAATATAGTGTACTGTAATGTTGTTTCCCTTTTTGGAGCTCATGTTTGTAAAGTGTATAATACATTCATTTAAAATGTATATATATATATATATATATAAATTCCTGTAGGTTGTAAGTGGACATTAGCAGTTTTCTGAATGATGCATGAGCACTTTCACAGCAGAGTATCACAGCTAATGGAAGAAGTCTGAAGGCAGCTGTGTCTGGATCCACTACAATGGGTCAAATTTTCCAAGCAAGATTACTCCATGATCAGAGCCAAACGCTACGCCTGAGGAATCTCACAAATCCGTTGCACTGTCCAAACCATCCTTATAGGTTTTTCAGAGATGCTAGGTTAATATTTGAACATCCACATAATTTTAACATTAACTCAATCAATTAGAAGGCATTTAGAGGCACTGATGATATATTATTATCACCAAACAAAACCACTTGCCAACAAATTAACAAAACTAATTCAGTACTGTACTGCTCTCTGCTGGAGACTCAATGACATAACCACAGAAAAGCTAAAGATGGTGTTCGGCGGACATTGAATATTATCATTATAGTTTCCCAAAAAATGCAAAATATTAAAAAAAGTAATAATTTCATTTTTTATCAAAAAACAAGAAAAAGAAAAAAAAATTTGCCCAAAGGAAAATCTTGCCAAATGTCTCCTCAGAGATGACGTTTTGGAAAAATAATAAATGGAAAGACACTTTTAAAATGAAAATAAAATCATACTTGTCATGGTCATCGGGGTCTAGCGGCTGATAAGTGACTTTATAGCACTCGATTCTCTTCAGGAAATCCTCCATCACACTCTCTCGGTCTCTCTCAGGATAATCAGGACTGGAAACCTTCACATCCAAAGTTAATTTCTGAGGAAAAATTAATAAGGTCGTGTGGCAAAAAAATATTTGTTCCTGTTTGATACTGTGACTTGACTTGACTTGATCCTTAGCAGGACTCGACTTGACTTGCTTGAGGTGAGCCACTGACTTGACTTGACTTGCTTGATTTGTTTGTACTGTGACTTGAGACTTGCTTGAGACTTGATGGTAGGGACTTGAGACTTGCTTGAGACTTGAACATGTGTGACTTGCCCCCACCTCTGATAAATATTAATGGTGACACTCACCAGTATGTTGGCAGCAATGACTTCTGGGTCGTCACAAAGTGACTCCACAAAAAACACCTGGAAACAAAACCAAATATAATCCCATCAAAGCCTGCAAGAACGTTTCTATTCAGGTTTATAAAGAGCAAAGCAGGCTGACGGAGGAGCTTTACTGATCTCTGGATGCTCTGAACATGAAGAGGTGCTACTATTTCAATAAGCGACTGATATTCACACATCCTCTGACCTTATATGCGTTTTCCTTCGCAAAACTCAGGATGAGGTTCCTTCTCTCTCTGGTTGTGTTTGTGGCATCAAAAACCTGCCAGAGACAAATGATCACTTCACACAATGATCTTGAAGAGAAACAAATTAGAAAATATCTCATCAAATATAATACAAATATTATAATAATTGGCTTACGTCACAAGTGCAGTTAGGTAACATAGAAGCAATTAAAATTAATATAATAGAAGCAATTAATATTTTTAATTGATTGGAATGACATTGATTTATTTTATGCTCTTTTTGACTGGTATAGAAACTGGTATAGCAAATATTTATGAAATGAAGGTATGGATTTGAGTTTTTCTAATGACAATGTGATATGATGAAGTGTTTAAACAGCATCTGGGGCAGTGATATTTTACTTTTATTTATATATCATTATAGTATTCATTAATCATTTGAATTAGCTTTTTAATATTTCATATTTATTTATTTTTTCATATTTAATCATTTTCTCATATCACATTTTAATACTATTAGTTTTTTATATTTCTATTTAGCTTTAATTTATTTTTATTTCAGTTTTTAGTAGTTTAAGTCATTTTTGTATTTCAGCTTGTATTTTCAACACAGCATTTTAATTATCCGATTGCTATTTTTACTATTTCTTTCAATATTTCCATTTAGCTTTATATTTATTTGTAGTAATTTTACTATGTGCTTTTGTTATTTGATTATTTTTTGTAAATATTTCTATTTATCTTTAATTTCTTTTCATTTCAGTTTATAGTAGTTTCAATCATTTTAGTACTTAAACTTATTTTAGTTAGTTGCCAACACAGAATTTTTATTTTAGTTTAAGTTGTATTCATTTTATTATGTGCTTTGTCATTTTTACAATTTTTTTTTATAATTAGCTTTCATTTATTTTTATTTGTAGTAATTTTATGTACTTGTCATTTTATTATTTTTCAAAAAGAAAAAATCTATTTAGCTTTCATTTATTTTTATTAAGTTGTTTTAGTAATTTTAATACTTAAACATATTTCAGTTAGTTGCCAACACAGCATTTTAATAGTAAAGTTGTAGTAATTTTATTGTGCTTAATATTTCTTCCCATATTTATATTTAGCTTTCATTTATTTTAATTTGCAGTCATTTTATTATGTGTTTTTGTAATTTTATTATTTCTGTTTAGCATTAATTTACTTTTATTTCAGTTTTATTTTTCATTTCATCAGTAGTTTAGTTCAGTTAGTTACCAAAGCAGCATTCCTAATTCTATATTTTTCATCCAATTTTATATTTTATTACAGCTTTATTTCTATAAAAAAAATATTTTTACATTTTTTAGTCTGTAGATTACAATAACACCACAAATAACACAAAACACTCCGTCACACAAGTGATTAATATTTGAGCTAATAAATGGAGAAATTCTAGTTTCAGTATGTGAAGTCCAAAAATAAACGTGTCCAAAGAGCAGAACTTACAGCGATCTGCCCTCCCTCCTCATTCAGATAAGATTTCACATCCTGTAGAGCCACGATGGCACACTGTCTGAGAGAAACAACAGACAAGAACCAGACCACAATCACATTAAACTCAACAGTTCCTGACTCGATTCATCAGCACTCGTCTGAGGAACCACTGTGTGTCAAATCACAACCATTTAAAAGATCTTTATTCTTGCTCTTTGGAAACATAGTTTGATGTGAATATTACATTACAGTATGTCACACAGTGCAACTTCCTGCAAAACTTCCTCCTGACTGAAACGGATTCAGGCGAGTCATTCTGCTGTAGAAACATCCTCTTGTGTCGGAGGTATTTGTGTACTGTAGGTGTAATGTATGTGGATACTCACTTCCTGATTTTCATGGCATCTTCATTGTCATGACGGAAGAAGTCGAAAGACTTGTACGACTGTACCGCCTCACGTCTATAAACGCCCAGGTTAAAAACTGACAGAAACACACAACTGTTACCAACATACGCAGGGAAAGCAACAGAGTGAAGCTAGTATAATATTTCATAGATACAGTACCAATACTAGAAAGGTACGAAGGCCAGAAAGTTATAAACTCAAGTTTACATCTTGCAATTCTGTTTTTTTTTTTTGTTTTTTTTTTTACTTCTCAGAATTGCAAGTTATAAGTCTGTAAGATTGCTAGTTTACATCTTGCAATTCTGTTTTGTTTCTGTGACGGAATAAAAAAATAAAAAAGGTAATTGCGACTTTTTAATCTCACAATTCTTACTTTTTCATGCAATTGCAATTTTCGCGATTCTGTTTTTTTTACACCATGAAATAAAAATTAACACCAATTTATTAAAAGTTTAACAAAAATTACATGTTTGGGGCCCTATGAAATGTTTTATTTTTTCCAACCTTATGTTTTGTTACCAAATTCTGTTTTAGCATGTCTAATTATTTGAAAGCATAAAAGCAAGTTTCATTTATTCTTACAATAGCCTTATGATTTTTGCTCAGAAATTATGTGTTGTGTATTTACATTTTTAAGGCATAAAACATTCATTTAATCTATCTTTTAAGTAATGAAAATTAAACAAATTTTATTTTTT